AGTAAGTGCTCAAAGTATCTTCCTTCGGTAGCAAGACTGGCTTGACATCGTCGAACCTAACCATTGATTGACGAACACGCTCAAGAATGTGTAATACACAAACCCTTTCAGTCAATCCCAAGAAGACAGAGATGGTTCTTTTTACACGCATGCGCAACATTGGCAATCCTAGAGCCAATATACTTGCTAAAACTCCACTTAAACTGTCTACAGAAGTTAAGTACTTGGGCTTAATAATAGACAATAAGTTAACGTGGAAATCCCACCTAGATAATAGAGTTAATAAAGCTTACGTGCCGGAGGGCTGTCGGGAGGACTTGGGGTTTGTCCTCCATGATAGTCCTGTAGATTTATACTGCCGTGGTTCGACTAATGTTTAACTACGGTGTGGTGGTATGGTGGACTAGAACTTCTAAGTCTACCGCCACCACTGCACTCAATAGAATACAGAGACTCGCGTGTCTGTATGTTACAGGTGCGCTGCGATCAACCTCCACCGCGGCCATGGAAGTCATGTTAAATTTACCACCATTCAACCTACATATTCAGGAAGTGGCCTTGGTAACCATGAAAAGTCTACAATCAGTAGGAATTATGAAGGATAGGGACGCTGGCAGCAGTTCAACACTCTGCAGGGGAGCAGTGTTAGACACACCCTTACTTGAGTGTAAGACTGACCACGGACCAGCAAAATATGTTTTCTCAAGGAAGTACCTCACCCATGTCAGTCCCAAAGTAGTAGATGGACACAGAACTTTAAAGATCTACACTGATGGTTCAAAAGGACGAAATGGCGCAGGCGCGGGGGTCTTCTCTCACAATCCCCGGATTCGCCTCTTGGAACCTCTAGGTTCTAGCACTACCGTCATACAAGCAGATCTGACTGCTATTAAATTTGCTGCCGACTGCATTGTTGACTCGAACAAGCGGGGTAAATGTTTTACTATTTTTACAGACACTAAACAATCTCTTAAGACTCTTTACTAAATAAGTCTTAAGCAGAGTTATTATAACGTCTGCATTAGTTATGGATTGTCACACAGGACTGGAGGAGGCCGAGAAATATAATCGTGTCAGAATCCAGTGGGTTAAGGGGCATTCTGGCTCCAAGGGTAACAACCATGCGGACAGGCTAGCCAAACGTGGGCAGAAAATTACCCCCTCTTTAGCTGCTCATATCGAGTCGATTAAGCGCATTACCCACAAAAAATTCGTAAACGGGTGAGACCGAACCCCGGGCTGTCATCTCGCCAAGGAATTGTTAAAATATCCTTCAGCCGCAACAGCTCAGTTCTTCGAACTGTCACAGGTCTCCTCACGGGACACTGTAAGGTAAATAAGCACCTTCAAAACATGAAGCTTGTTGACTCCCCTTTATGCCGAGCCTGTGAACAGGATGACGAGACTGTTAAACACATCTTGTGTGATTGCCTCTCTCTCAGAATGAGGACCTTCGGGGAAGACTGGCCAACCACAGATGATATCAGGAATGCACCTCTAGGAGCTGTCCTAGCCTTTGGCAAAACCTTAGGCTGGTTGATGTGATCAGAGTGTGTAATGGAGGATACACAAGGGGCCCAACGGGGCCTAAGTGTGGTGTGCGGTTTCGCACGCACTCCCGAATCTATACATGCATACATACGCTCAAGAATTTCGGAACTATTCTGAACTACACGAAAACTATGACTGATTCAGTTTCGCAGTTCTTCTAAAGTATGAATCGGTGTAGCGTACATCAGTTGTTTTAGGTGGCCCCGTAAAAAAAATCTTTCGAAGTGCAATCTGGAGAACGTGACGGCGTGGTCTTTGCCACTCCAAAGATTCAGAAAATGATTGTTTATGTACTTTCTAGCAACAAGGCTGAATAGTGGTGGAGCATCGTCGTACATGAACCATCATAAGTCATTGCAAAGGTAATATCTAATTCGACAATAACGAACTTGATTAACTCGGATGTATGGTTGAAATAACAAGCCAATTATTAGCTTCTATTAATTTTGAAATAACTTTTTAAGGAAACATTTTCATACATATAGGAGCTTTTTTTACAGTTTTGTTCCATACATCACCGTGGTGAAGTTTGGCCAAGCAATTTAGATACACCCTGTATACTACTAGACTTATCTATAAATGATCTAATTTGCTGTGGGGTCGAAATTCCTTGAATGCAACAGGCTGGAACGTCTTTGTTATTGACATTATTATGGCAATTATCCATCCAAGAATGCACACATTTGAGGACTATAACTTAATATAGCAGTAATGAAGTGCGAGGGTGGTATTAATGACAAGATTTTAACTTCGATTCATAATTAACATTAATTTTTTATTTTTTACATAAAAATTAATGATCAAAAATCCAAAATTATAGATATTAAATAGAGGTGATAAATGACTGAATTTGAAAATTTTAAAATAAACGTTTTTGAATTGGGATTTCGTTTTTCGTTTAAACGATTTAAGCTAACCCCACATAGGGGAAATATCGCGGTTTTCAGAAACGGGTCAAAACGCACACAAATTATCGATTTTCTTATAGACCCCTTTCCAATTTCTTTTCGCTTTGATTTCTGGCGTGGAGCATTTGCGAACCGACCGCGTTGTCAGGACTTCTCTTCCTTTTTGCCCTTTCGCTAAAGGCCGGTTCTCGAATGGACAGGCCAAAGGGTCAGCTATGGCCCATCGTCCTTTCTCGAGGCGGCAGGGAGAATGGATGGTTTTTCCATCGGGTTCCATGCTTTTCTCTCCCCAGGTGAGAGGGTTGTTCTCTGGGGGACGTGAGGGGCCAGGGCAAGCGCAGCAGGTACTAGGAATGTCCGGGCCTGGCGTAGTTCACGCGCAGCTGGCCGAGATAGCGCTACTGTCGCCCTCCGAACTGAAGACATTCAGTCGCAACAGGTAGCCAACAAAAGCTTCCTACTCATTCGGAGACTGTGGCGTGCATGTGCGCGACAAATTGGCGCTATTTCGAAAGAAAAATTACATTTTTTTTCACGTGTTTATCGTGTATTGGCTAAAAAATATTAGGAATTTTTTATTATTAAGTAATAAAAAATTTTGGAAAAACGATCATATTTGTAATCACCGTTTAGAGTTCAGTTGCGGTTGTGAAAAAATATCAGAAAAAAACATTAATTAATTAAACATTTTTATTATTCATCAAAGTTATCGAGAAAACAATTTTTCGAAGACCTCAACATCAACAAAAGATTGGTAAGTTTCAAACTTTTATTTTGACCTACAATAAAAAAAAACGCCAAGAAAGAGAAACAAGTTCCTTTTATTTTTTTAAAACGAAAAAATCTAAGTTCGCTTCGTGAAAATGTTTTCTTTCTTTTTTTAGTTTTTAAATTTTAAAGTTATACAAAACATATTCTTGCGTTGACCGTTCACCGTTTTATCATCGTTCGTTTGAAAATGCAAATTTGCAAGTTTTGCAATTTAAAAATCAGTCTTCTCTTTATACTTTTTTTTGGCTGCGGTCTGCGTTTTTTGATCCTCGTCTTCACTCGTTAACGGCTGGCGCAAACTTGTCAACGCGACACGGCAGCGTCAAGACGGATCGATACACTGACATTCCTGAATAAATTTGCAGTAAAATATTCCTGAGAATTCATGCGGATGCAATAAATGGACTCATTTTCGCGGTGATCATTCAGTACTTCAGCTCGTTCTGGAACCTTAATAATCATTCCATGTAAATACGCGATGTTATTAAAGAGTTCTTTTTATATTTTTCAGTAACTTTTTAATATTCAAAAATCATGTAAAGCAAACATTTTTTAATTAAAGCTTTAAATTTGATTTATGTGAAATTATAGAGTATAAATCTTAAAATCCTTAGATTGAAAGAAGATTATAAAGTAATTTCTGTAATTATTCTTTAAATTGCTAGCGATTATATAATATCGATTTCGTTTTCTGTAACTGCTTTAACTCCATTAGGCTAACCATATTGACCAAAGTGCTTAATGCTCTGTTTTTTCAAAATCATTTTAATTTATCATCCGGAAGTAAATGAGTTTGTTGGATTCATATTATTTTTATTATTAATTAAAAAATGTGATTTTATAAAAAACATTAACGTAATAAATTCTCCTTAACATTGATTAGTTGAATCAAATTTGAATTCATCTTAGTAAAAGCCTACAATTTATTCTTGGTATAAAATATTGAATTGTCAGTGGGAAAGATTCATAACGATGGAGATAAGGGGTTCACATCTTATATTATTCTGCACAACTGCCACAAAATATGATTATAAACCTGGTTATTAAATCAGTAAATTTAATGCTCCCTCTTGTTATCTGTTTTACGATACTTGAATTATTTACTTTATTACTTTTATGGAGCAATTTTAACCAGCGGCGAAACATGATACTTGACACTATGGAAAACTTGAATCATATTTGAAGCAATTACTTTTTCATTTTTTGGGTTACCTTCCGATGAAAACAACAATTGTATACGGTGAAATATGACTGTTTAACTTTCATTTTCTTTGTGTTTCTTTGGTCCAGCGTATTGCGTAAATGCTTAAAGTATAAGCTACGATTTGCAATCGCATTTTGTGTCGTCACCATGGAATTACATAATCACACAAATCCCAATTACTATTCTACATTGTAATTTTTTACCATTTTTTTCTGATATTTTATTTGGTATAAAACGGAAATTCGGAGAGCATTTCAATCTTTCTGTGGAGATCTGTTACATCCCAACTCTTCCATTACTTGGGTTTGTGTCATAGTACCTAACGATTTCAGATAAATTTGTTTTCTTTGCAGTCTTGTATATACAGGGTGAGTTATTAGCATCCAGGCGGTCGATAGTTACTAAACCGTTTGAAAAGCAAAAAATGATTTTATACAAAAGTTGTTTTGTATATCTCTTATACAGGTGTCCGCCGGGAAGGTATACTACTTTGTTTGTTTATAATTTTTGATTAAATGAAAGAGAATGGATCTTATATTGATAAATGTTTTATTTAATGTCGACAATTATGTATGGAATACAATATCAGATAAATGTCCGCCTCTGTTAGCCTCACAAATGCGGGCCCTTTTCAGCACATTTTTCATTACATTCTCACACATTTCACGCGGTATTTCATTAATTTCATCACAAATATTTTGTTTGAGTTGCTCCAGCGTTTCTGGTTTGTTTGCATAAACCTTGCTTTTCAGATATCCCCACAAAAAATAGTCCGGAGCAGTCAAATCAGGCAACCGTGGAGGCCAATCAACATCACCATTTCTTGAAATAACTTGTTGTGGAAAGAGGTCTCGCAGTAATTCCATTGTAATCCTGGCTGTATGCGATGTGGCACCGTCTTGTTGATACCACATGTTAATCAAGCCCAAAGCATGCAGTTGTGGCGTTAAATTTTCAATCATATCACGATATCGCTCCCCATTGACAGTTACCATTACGCCGTTTTCAGTTTCAAAGAAGTAAGGTCCAATGATTCCTCCTGACCAAATTGTACACCAGACTGTCACTTTTAATGGATGCAAAAGTGACTGATGAATAATTTGAGGGTTTTCAATTGCCCAGAACCGACTATTCTGTTTATTCACATATCCATTCAAATGAAAATGAGCTTCGTCAGTCATTATGATTTTTTTCATGAAAATCGGGGTTGTCATGGGCGAGCTGTAACATCCTATTGGCATATGTACGGCGGCGTAAATGGTCTTCTGGAAGAAGCTCTTGTGTCAACTAAATCTTAAATGGAAACAAATGCAAATCCTTGTGCAAAATTTGCCAAAGTTGTTCTTTGAAGACCAAGCTTCTGAGCACGGCGCCGAATTGAGGTTGATGGATTGTTTTGAACACTTTCTTGAGCAGCAGTAATGTTTTCAGCTGATCTTGCAGTACGTTGTGGTCCATGCTTGGCCCTATCAGCTACAGTCCCTCTTTCTTCGAAATCATTCACTACACGATAAATAGTGCGTCTTGTTGGCACGTTGTTTCTCCCAAAAATTTCACGTAACTTTCTCATCGTCACAGTAATCGATGATTGATTTTGATAAAATGTTTTAACGATTAAAACACGTTGTCAAAGCCCTGTAAAACACTGTGTCAAAGCCAGTAGGTAGATGATAGTATTCAAAGATATTAGATACACTGTACAGAGTGTTTATAAAGCTTAGTTACTTTTGACGTTTTTCAAATGGCTTTTTCTTAAGTTTTCTAAATGGAACAACCTGTATATTGCGTTCTAGTTGAATTGCTCATCAAGTTCCCTTTAATTAATGATAAGTATGTCATACGTCTAACTTTAATAGTTTTCCTGATATTTATAATTTAAAGAAAAATGTGTAATAAAACGTTAAATTATTGTACTTAAAAAAATGACAGAATGTAGTATACATATATAGGATTAGATGTCAAATTAAAATCACATGTTTTAAAAGTAACAAACTAAAATATTTATTGTAATGTAAAGTGACAAACTATTAAACATTTAGTCTTTAAACTTATCTAACACTCTTTTTTTTTACAAACGTATTAATCATTTATTTTATAAGAAAATAGTTCTATTACTCATTACGTCAGTCTCTCTCTACTGTTCTCTGTCTGAATGATCCTCTCTGTCAATCCCACATCTCGGCCATTCTGATCTTCATCCGACTCGGATGATGACCAAACATCATTATTTTGTGGATATGGCTTCACATGATCTGCTGATGCTGTAGTACATCTCGGACCATTCATTTAATAACTTTATAAGGTCCTAACAACTTTATTCTCAACTTAAGTCCACTTTCAAACTGTGTTCGTTGAACTGCAACCCAATCACCAACTTCATAAACTCTTGCTTTCTTTCTTCTTTTATTGTAATTTCTTTTATTTTCTTCTTGAATTCGTGCTATTTGTTTTGCAGCATCATCTCGTACTTGAGATCGTTCTTCATCTAGTCTTTGTATCAAATCTTTTTCTAGTAATTCTTGTGATTTTAGATCTTCAGAATAACGCATATCGATTCCAGTGAAAACTTTAAATGGGGAGACGGCTGTACTTCTATGGTTAGTTCTGTAAAGAATTTGTTGTAATCTTTCCACATACTTAAACCATTTTTCCGGTTCTTCTACTGATAAAGCACTTAGAGATGATATTATGGTTCTGTTTAACCTTTCGATTTGCCTGTTTCCTTGGGGTACTCCGATAGTAATCAGAATATGATCAATATTTTTCTTTTGAACAATAATTTTTGATTTGATCAGATACGAATGCTCCTCCTCTATCGGAAATTATTCTTCTAGGATTTCCAAAAATTTTCTGTTGACTATCTAGTTTTCCTATCACTGCTTTACTGTTCACTGTTTTGGTTGGTTATAAATAAGTTATAACCAAGTAAATTTAGTAAAAGCATCTATTCAGCAAAAATGTACTTATAGTTCTTGTTGGTAGAAGGTAAAGGACCAAGGCGATCAATATGATAAGTATCTAGCGGCGTAGATCCTTTTTCGATTGAATTTAGAAAATCTTCAGGATTACCTGTCTTTCTCTTCACCATAATACAGGTTATACAATTTGTAAGACAATTCTCTATTTTTTTTCTAAGTCTTGATATCCAAAATTCTTGCTTAAGGACGTCCATCATTTTCTTTAAACCTAAATGTCCGTTGTCGTTGTGTCATTTCTTGATGATCTCGTACTATAGAGTTTTTGGTACCACCAGTAATTCAGTAAGTTGACCATTTTCATACTTGTACAACACTTTACCTTCAACAGCATAATCCTCGTATGGACCATTTTCAAGTAAATCAAATATTAGTTTCAGCGTATCGTCGAATCTTTGAGCATTTTCGATTCGATCTGGTGTACTTTTGATGGAGGTTAACATCACTGGGTAACGACTGAGAGCATCAACATGCTTCATACGTTGTCTTGGTCAATGACGAATGATATATTGAAATTCCTCTAATAAAAGTGCCCATCTTGCAACTCTAGTACATAGCTCCTCTTTCTCTAATGTTTTAGTAAATGCTGAACAATCTGTAACAATTTCAAAGTTAATGTCTAATAAATAAACTCTAAACCTTTTGGCGCTTTCAATAATAGCTAGAACTTCCAGCTCGTAACTGGAATACATTTGTTGAGCAGGTTTGCCTTCCGACTCATATAATGCACAGAATGTAATTTTTGGTCATATTCGCTTTCTTGCATCAGTATTGCACCAAATCCAAACTTAGAAGCATCACAATGTAATTCAGTTTTAGCAACATTTAGGTAAATTTTAAGGACAGGACGATTTGATAAGATGGTCTTTAATCTTTCAAAGGCTTCTCTCTGAATTCTTCCAAAACAAAATAACTGATCCTCTTTCATTAAATCACTTAACGGTTTAGCTATCAGCGAATAATTTTTGACGAATTTTCGAAAATAACCAGCAAGGCCCAAAAATGATTGGAGCTGCTTCAGATTTCTAGGTTCTGGAAATTTGGTTACAGCTTCTATTTTTCTCGGAGATGGTCGAATGCTTCCATTAATTATTTCGTAACCCAAATACTCTATTTCTGACTTCAAGAATTGGCATTTTTTTCCAATTAACCTCTAATCCGTAATATTCCGCAACCTTTAATACATTTTTTAATGTTTCCAGAGCCTGCATCTCGTTTTCAGCTAAAATTATAATGTCATCGATGTATGTCAGAATCATTCCTTCCCTTATCAAATCTTTGAAGGTATTGTTAATAAACCTTTGGAATATGGCCGGTGAATTGCAAAGCCAAAATGGTGTTCGAAGAAATTGATACTGACCAGCAGGAGTTACAAAGGATGTAAATTTTCTACTTCCTTCCTCAACGGGGACATGGAAAAAACCATTCTTCAGATCTAGCGTACTGAATATCTTTGATTTTTGCAATCTGCCTAGTTGATGTTCAATAACAGGTAGTGGGTACCTATCTCCATTTTTCTTTTTGACTAAAACAATCGGACTTGAATATTCAGAACAGCTGTGTTCGATGATTCCTTCATGCAGTCATCTATCAATTTGTTCATTCACTTCATCCATTTCTGCCTGCAACAAACGGAATGTCTTCCTTTAAAACAATTTTTGTTTGAATTGAAGTTGTAACACGTTCTTCCGGTCGATAATTATTGATCAATTCTCTCACCTCTTCCCTTAACTTCGTGTCTTTTATCTCAGTTAAATTGTCTTAAATTTTATCTTTAATTAAATTGTCAATTAACTTTGTCATCAAGAGCAATTTGCATAATTTGAAATGGATTTCAGAATGGTTAATCAATTCTTCTGCCTGTGAGAGTAAATCATCACCCAAAAGCAACTCATAACATTTTCAGGTACAATGTGTATTGTAGTGTGATACACATCGCCATCTATAATAATATTACACACAAACTGACCCAAAGTCTTAATGTTGTTCTTTCCAATTCCAGTAAGTGTTATAAACATTTCTTCAAATCGTGCTATGTTCAATACCACGATTGATGCAAATAAGGATACACTTGCAGTATCAATCAAGGCAGTTATCGGCCCTTCTTCTAATATCATTTCTTTATAATTCTTTCCTGTTTCATTTTCGATATAATTTGCTTCGAATCTTTTTTCCTTATTACATTCTCTCGCTTTATGCCCATAATTGCTGCATTTAAAGCATTTCGTTCCTCTTTCTTCCTTTGGACAGTCATTGGATTTGTGACCACAATTGTAACGTCGAATTATTGGTTTTGTTGTTGATATGCTATCGATTCTGGTTCCCCATGCATTACCAGTTGTTGATGTTTGTTGTTTTCCCGCTAAACTTATTTGAATTATTCTCGAATCATTTCACGGCATCAGTCTTTTTCTTCATCTTTTTGTTCATTTTTTCATAGACGTGTAACTTTTCTTTGAATTCTTTAATAGTCTTGCGCCATAAAGAACAGTTTTATTGTTTATATCGTCGGGAATTCCATCAATAACATATTCCATTAGCGCATCATCGTCTACTTTTTCTCCACTAGCCATTGTCTTCATTTTTAGAAAATACTCTTGCATGGTTTCATCTTTTTTCATTTTTTTATTTAACAATATTTCATGTAAAGTAGCGCTACTAATCTTTTTGGAATACTCACCCTTCAGCTTTTTGTGCCATAAAGTTATTCCCCTTTCACTTTTGACAAACAATTTTGCTATACCAGTTAATGACTTTTTGGCATACAAAAACATTTGTAAATCATTCCATTCAAATGTATTTAAAGAATCTTCTACATCACGGAATGATAAGGCAAATGTCAGTTTTGTTCAATGGATGCTGGCCATCAAAGTTTCTGTGTCTTCTTCGTCGCTTTCACTGCTTGATTCTTCACTTTCTTCGTATAACTTCTTCGATTTCATTCTTATCTTCATTGGTTTCATTGTTTTTTCGTCGTCATCGTCGTCTTGAACGCAATCTTCATTTGTTGTTGTTGTGTTCTGTGTAATTTCACCTTAAGGTTGTTTTTTCTTATTATAGAGAGTTTAAAATGATAATGTATTCGAATTTTGATTATTAAATTATTGATTTTCTTTTCCCCCCTGTATCTGAGAAATCTTGAATTTATTTGCAATCTTTTAACCATTGGTTTTGGTTTTTTATTGACTACCAGAGTGTGAGAGAGTTCTAACCATCCCTTGAACTGCTCTATAATTAATATCACATCAACCAAAAACTGATCATCACATTGCTGCACCTCGACCGCAAGCTGCATCACTTTTAATTACGATAGGGAATGTATCATTTCGGCCGATGAAGTCGAGGTCGCTAGCGATTGAGCCTCTATAATTAATATCATATCAACCCAAAATTGAGCATCACATTGCTGCACCTCATCCACAAACGGCTTCAGCTAAGATTACAATAGAGACTGTATGATTGCACCCTGATTAAGTCGAGGTCGTTTGTGGTCGAAACTCTATAATTAGCAAGAGGCGCACCCTCTGCGGTAAGCTAGTTTTAAGATTATTTTTAGAAAATTCTACATTTCATTGATGGAGAATGTTAAGAAGTCAATTTTGTTATTGCATATTTTCAATTTAAATTGTACAGTAACATTTTTTTTTACCTAAACATTCGTTCTCGTTTGTTTCGTGTCCATGTTCTCTTGAACTTGTTTGTCGTTGTATAAATTGTCTTGTCATTCAATAAATCTGTAGAGTAAAGATTTGTAGAATATTAAACATGTTCATTTCGCGAGAACTATTCTACCAGTAACTCTAAAGTTAGTTAATTTTAGGCACAAAAAAAATTAGACATAATTACATGATATGAATGTAAACATATCAATGACAATAATCATGATCATAAAGCAGCATCACATCGCATGCATTTTATGAAAAGTTTTGTGATCTTTATTTCGTGAATAATATACGAAACATCTTTTGGATGATTTTTGCCGGTTAGGGCTAGGTTCACAAACATTTTCTTAAAGATCGCTTCTTAGCATACGTGGCAGTCGTTTATTCTATAAACGAAACTATATTGTTTTGTATTAATTTTATAAATAACCAGGGCATTTATTGCTATTGTATTTACAAGCGAAAGAAATAATGTTAGAGATCATCGTCTGCTCTTTCTGATAACAGTGTAGTTCTTGTTGAATTATAAAAATTAATGATCTCTGGTAATTGTATTGGTCTATAATTGGTCTATGATGCTAGTAATCTATACGGTTCTTTTTCATATTTATATTTTGACATTTTATTTATAATAATTACTTCAACATAAACTTCTCCTCCATACTCAAAAATTAAGTGTAGTTAATTTGTTACTTAAAGTTTGACGGGTGTAACGTATGAAATCTTGGAAGTTATGTCGTGCAGTACCATTTCAGAGAAGTTAAGTTCTACGCTGCTCATAATCAATATGAGGTGAAGCCATACTACGCGCAACTTATTTAACCAACAGAAGCAGCGTCTATCAGCTTCTGTGGAAGAAATTGTTACAACTCCTAAAATGCGAAAATAAATCTTATCAAATTTAAAACACTACTTTTAGAAGTGTTATTTATGACATTCATCAATTTGGAACAAAAATCTGTAAACTCCATTCTTCCGCAAAAAATGCTTTGAATGAACTTTATAAATAAATTCCTATCATTAGGAATTAAAACAATAACATACAGAAATGAAGCCGGCTAACTTATGCAACGAGTCTTTTCATTCAACTATGCTTGGCATAAAATTTGTAGTTGTTTAATCCTGTAATAAAGCACAATAGATTTTGTTTACATGAGCATGCGAGTTTATAATTTTACTGTGAATATCATTTTAGCCATAAATCTATGAAAGACTAGACTTTGAGAAGAGCCAAAGTATTTTGAAGGCTTGAAGTCTCCAGTAACGCCATAGTATTAAAAGTGTTGAGGATTCGTCATCATTCGGTTATCAAAATTTCAATATCAACTCATGTTGATCTAATACGTGATTCGTGGGTAGCTTTATGGTCCGTGCTATGATAAGAATGTAACTTAATATTGGTAATACATTATTTAATTTTATATAGGGTTATGCAAAAATTTACTTACTACACTCGGTATTTTTATATGGAGATGTGGATAATATGTTTGTGCATAATTCTCAACAGTTTGACGACAGAATCGAATTGTTTTGTTTTAAACTAAACAAATAATGGTATGGTTTCGGCATGAAATAGAAAATATAATTGCTTTTTGCAAAAGAAAGTTTAAAGTTTAAAAGAAAGTTAAAAATAGATTATTTAAGATTACTCATTTAAATGATTTTTCAAACAAGAAATCTGTTACGGGATTAATTAGTTGTTTAATGAATTTAGTGGTCTCCACGAGACTTGATTTATGCAGCCGTATTCAAGATAAATCTGTTCCTGCGTTGTTGCAAAA